AGACAGACAGAGAGAGAGCTATGTTGCATTCATCAAATTTATTTGATATAAGATGTTCCTTGTTGTTCATCCGTCTTTATTATGGGCGTAAGCGTCGTTGTTTGAATTATTCCCGATCGCCCCCATCTTGTTACAGTTTAATAGTTAGATAATCTAAGAAAATTGAATATATGGCAACTCTAGTTGGGGAAAAATGATATCAAATGTCGAGATAACCTTCGAATGAATAGGGACACTTTTGGACGTTTGTGTTATCTTTTAGAAAATCTAGGTGGTCTAACTGCAACTAGAAACGTCCAAGTAGGAGAACAAGTGGCTATATTTCTTAAGATTTTGGGTCATCATACAAAAAACGTGTAGCTAGCACAGACTTTAAAAGATCGGGATACCCCATAAGTAAGCATTTTAAATCGTGTATTACTCGCATTGCTTAGGTTACACACTGTACTTTTGACTACTCCTAAACCTGTGGATGATGACTTGGATAACGAACGGTGGGTTACTTTAACGTAAACATAAATAAATTTATTTTAAAGCAGTAATTATTTCAAACTAAACTATATCTTCTTACTTTGCCCGAACAACTAAATTGGGTAATGTTAGGGATCCCTTGGTGCATTAGATGGCACTCACATTGAAGTGAGAGAACCTCGTGTTGATAAAGCAAGATATAGGAACCGCAAAGGTGAAGTGTCTGTTAATGTGCTTGCAGTGTGTGATGTAAATATGAATTTCATTTATCTTTTGACTGGTTGGGAAGGGTCTGCAGGTGATAGTAGAATCCTTCGGGATGCGATTAGTACCTAACGGGTTTAAGGTTCCTACTGGTATGTGTCGTTATTTTATATAGAAGTTCTTTTGTACTATGTACAGTGAAAGTAATTTTGAAAACCTCATTACTCGCGATTACAGGTAATTATTATTTGGTTGATGGAGGTTACACAAACGCGAATGGTTTTCTTGCACCCTACAGAAAAACTAGATATCATCTTAAAGCATATGGTCCTGGCCGTGCTGCCCCTCGAAACTTTAGAGAATATCTTTAAACATAAAACATGCGAAGGCACGTAATATCATTGAGAGGGCGT